AATGGTTTTCAGTTGTGGGATTATAAGGCTAATGATAGGATAGAACATTATTGTAATACAGTACGAGTACAACAGTTTTTTAACTGAAAACCATTCGAAAAGCGATTACGGTAAAATCTTTTGAATAACGAAAGAAAGCAAAAATCATTGTTTTCGTCTTTCCACTGTAATATGTACGCCATTCCAGCAAAAATATTATATTTCCATATTTATTTCTGAGAATACCTATATTCATTCAGTCACAGTTAAGGTAAAATATACTTGTGATGTTATATTTTAATGAAAATACCAGGCATTTAGAAATACGGTATCGTAGTTTTCTTTTGTTTCAAATTTAATTAACAAAGATTGATGTTTCAAATGTAATGAACAAAACTTTATGTACAGTATCTATAAATAAACTTTAAAAAATGAATACTTTATGTTTTACATCGTCCTGTGCATACCATACCATGCATTTGGCTACTTTGGGCTTGCTATGATGACGCAAGAGATCTGCCCTAGCAACTGTACCGACACTCACAGCTGGTGGTGTGTTGGTGTGACATTTCCATTGTTTACTGGTAGTTACTGGTAAATATTTTTCAACCTAACGAAACTATTACCCGTTTAGAAGTCGACCCCCAATTTTTTGCCAAATAATTTGGTCTTAAAAACTTGAACTACACACAGGTATATACGGTAAATAAGGACATGGGGGGACCAGGTTTTTTTGGGGGGAGGGGGGCAGCACATAAAGGACTAGTACACCAGTCTTCCTGCATTTGTCAATTGTAAACAAAGAAGGTGGTGTTGTATGCCTTCCTCTTCATTTTTTTACAGTATCTACCATTCCTTGGGTCCTACGGGCAATGATGAGATCTAATATTGTTTATCATGTATTCTTCGGACAGGTGTGTCCACACAGGAATAAATATAGAGGCCATGAAGAAGTTGAACATGTCTCAATGTAAACAAATGTATCAGATGTATTTATAAATATCAACATTAAAAAAAAATGTCATTTAAAATTGATTAAAATGCAATTCTGATTAATTTTAAAATTTAATTTAGTTACTTTACAAGGTTAGATATTTATTGTATATAAATACTGTATCCTCATTGTCGAGTATAGATTTTGACTTAGTCAAGAAAACTGATGCAAGCCAGTCAGGGGGAAATTATATTTTTTGTCTGAGCGAGACGGGCTAGAAAAATAGACAATTCGTGGAAAAAATGATGGAACTGGGAAAGTTGATGTAAAACGTGCTAGTTTGACACCGCCTTTATAATACCTGAGGATAACATCAACATGGTGCCCAACTCACTCAACCACCAACTCATATTGCCTTCTTTGCCTAACTGAGGTTTGTTCAACCAAAAATCATCTTTAAGAGACACATTGGTTTAGCATACACATACAGTACACAGTATAGAAGCACACCACTGAAGGTTTTTTTTTTATTTAAATCAAAGATAGCCCAAGAAAGCCATTAGAACTGCTCAGTGGTTGTCTAGTCTTTTCAGGAAGACTAACATACAGTCAACCCTCATTTTAGGCGGTCCCACATTCCGCGTTTTCACGTTAAAGCGGTGCCCTGCCAGAACCTAACGTGCTCACATTACGCGGTGCGTGAACCCCATTACGCGCGGAGAGTGTCCGGCGCGACGCTATTTTTAGATTCGCCCCACCCGCCTGCCTGCCTGTGCTCTCGCCTCTCCCTCCTCCTCCCTCCGCCTGGGCAAGCCGCACGGTAAGGTTGCGCAGTGTGTGTCTTTGTTGCGTTATCACTGAAGTCATATGACGCATCGGACTGTGATTGGCCATGCATCCCTACCCCCCTCTGCTGCTAGCTGTAATTGGCTTAAAGTATTATGACGTGTCCACCCGGGGGAGGGAGGGAGGGAGGAAAGACGATCCTTGACCTAGCCGCGCTAGTTTCATCCCTCCACGCCAGACCGTGTAAACGTGCATCCATTGTTCTCTAAAATGGCTTCCGCCAGACCACCACCCCCAGAGAGAAACCTTTCCTTACCTGGACCCAGCGGCACTAAGCCAAAGAAGACACGATGTTCCTTAAGCTATGAGGTGAAGTATACCATCATCCAAGAGTTGGAGAAAGGAACAAGGCAGGTTGATTTGGCGCGCCAGCATGGTGTGAATGAATCTACGATTCGAACAATAAAGAAGGATGCAGCCAAGATAAAGGAGCACATGAAGATCACAAAGTCTACAGGTGCTTCTATGGTCAAGTATTTTCACAACCAGGTACTTCTCAAGACAGAAAAATTACTTGTGAGGTACTTGGTGCGTCAGGCGCGACGGAACATGGCGGTCGACATGCGCTCTGTTAAGGAGTACGCACGTGAACTGTACATTGCAGTGGCACGAAAGATGGGAATTACAGAGCCCAAACCCTTTAATGCTTCTTCTGGGTGGTTACAGAGGTTTAAGATCCGGAACAAGATCACCAATATAAACATTGGTGGTGAAGAAGCGAGTGCTGACCGTGCTGCGGCTAGGGAATTTCCTCCATTTTTACGTGAGATTATGGAGGAAGGACAGTACAGTGACGACCAGGTGTTTAACATGGATGAATCTGGTCTTTTCTGGAAAAAGCTACCTTCCAAGTCCTTCGTTGTAAAGAATGCCAGCAAGATTGGGGGCCGGAAGATGCAGAAGGAACGCATCACCGTCCTGTTTACCACCAATGCCTCCGGTACCAGTAAGCTCAAGTTATTGGTGATCCACACAGCACGCAAGCCGCACGCCTACAAAACCATGGACATGACCAAGCTAAATGTCCACTGGCTGACCGCACGTAATGCGTGGATGTTCTCTACACTGTCCCTCTCCTGGTTTGATGACTGTTTTGTTCCCGATGTAAAGAAATTCTGTGAGCGACAGAATGTGCCATTCAAGATTTTGTTGCTGCTGGACAACACACCAGGACACTCGCCCCTACTGTTAGATCGTCACCCCAACGTAAAAGTGGTCTTCCTTCCTCCCAACACTACGTCTATATTACAGCCCATGGACCAAGAGTTAATCTGTAATGTAAAAGCTGCATTCTCTACGAAAAAATTCAAACTCCTGAACGACAACACCAACACCAGGGAAGAGTTGCGTAATCTGAGTGGCACCACCAACGATAGCAAGAGCGAAGAAGATGAGGATCAACAGTTGGCACAGCAAAAAATACTGTTCACACAATTCTGGAGAGTATTTAACATTAAGAAAGCTGTGGACTTCTTGGTGGAGTCATGGGATCAGCTGTCTATTGCTACAATTCGTCACGCATGGAGACATGTGTTGCATGGAATACCAGGTGAGAGGAGGAGTCAATCTGTGACTGGTGAGGTTCAGACTGTTGCAGTAGCAGTGGACCTTGCCAGAGAAGCTGCGCAGACTGTTACAGTTCCAGGCTTCTCCGAGACCACCAACGACGACATCCTGGAGGTGATAATGGAACCTGATGTGACTACCGAGGAGATGGTAGATGATGATGATGACGACGTCAGTGAAGAGGCAGGTGGTGCGTCATCCCAAGAAGAACAACACTTATCCCATAGTAATGTTAGGGGTGCCATCGAGTGTATCGAGAAAGCCAAGCTCCTCCTTTCCGACGACCCTGACGCAAACAGGTATGAAATCTTCACTACCCAGCTGTTGCAGACTATGGAGCCCTACATCAAGGTGTATCACGACAACATCAACACCAGCCGTCAGCAAAGCATAACAGATTTCTTCGCCCGCAACCCACCACAGCCAGCCCAAGCCAGTGATAGTGACAGTGAAGATGACTTTGAGGGATTTGTCAGGGAAGCCCTGACAACTGTAAGTGACAGTGATGGTGATGCACCTAGTAATGGTGATTCACCTGAGGGCCAGTAGCCTGCCCTCTGCCTCGGAACCAGCCTCCATCCCCGTACGCCGACCCATCTCTTCTACTAACGTAAGTGTTCCACATAACTTTTAGTTTTCCTAACCTAACCTTTATTTTTCCTATGTTAACCTTTATTTTTCCTAACCTAACCTCATCTATATTACTTGTTTTTTCATACCATCATAAAGTTAAGATAAAATTTTTACTACAACATAGTTGTGTCTCGTCAAAAAGTGGAGTTTGGGGGTCGGCCCGGACTCTATTTCAATTAATCCCATATGTTATGTTATTCACTTTACGCGTTCCTCACTTTCCGCGGGACCCTGCGGGTTACATTAACCGCGTAAAGTGAGGGTTGACTGTATTTGAAGAAAATAAATATAAACACAGAATGTTTATTGACAGTAGTAATATATGACTACTTGCTCTGGTAAACTGTTCCATATATCCAAAATACCATATACAGTACAGTCCAGTATAACAAAATGAAGAGCTGTTATCGTGTGACCACAGCTGAAAAGCCCACAGATAACTATAGCTGAAACAGTATTATCACAGATAGAGCTAAACTGGACTTCCACAAACTGTGATAATTCAAGTGCCCTGCAATGATTTAAAAATAAATCCCCTTATTAGTGTGAAAGAAAGTAGCAATCAATGAAAAGCATTGCCAAAATATGGTTAGGTTTACTGTACAAACAGCTATGTGCCAAGAGGGTAGCTACAGTGCTTGACTCCTGTCCTAAGGGTCACTGGTTCTTGCTCCAACAAACAATGGATATCTAATTTTACAGTTGGAGAATTTAAGGCAATCGAGTGCTGTGCCAGACAGTGTTTCATGGTGTACCAAGCAAAGGCTTCATCCACTGGGTGTTAGATCTACACTGTCCTAAAAGCCTCTGAGCAACACTGTAAACATCTTTGGATACACATTCTGAGCAGACAAAACACTACCACAAATCTAAACAAATTTCTGCAAACAACATTCAACAAAACTATAAATCCGTCAAAAGATTCTCAATACAACAGCAACACAAAACTACATACTGTATTAACCTATAATGTCATTAGGTATATTTCCACTTTACTGAGATCAAACAAACCTTTAGAGTTAAATGGAAACTTATCACTTACAGAGACGTTGTGTGTGGACAACAAGAGCGAAGTGGTCACGGTCTAGGATGTGTGAGAGCTTGCCCAAGGTAGTATCTAGTTTGATTTTTCGGAACTGTGAATATAAAGATTGCTGGACTGGACTAGAGTCTTCTATCTTTGAGGACACCATTTTGGCCATGAGAGATCCTAGAGTCACAACTCCCTGAATCATCCTGAAATGTACAGGAAATATTACTTACTAAATACACTGCCTTCATTTCTGATAAACTGTTCTGTATAATCTAATAATTGTAGCATACATAAAATCTTTCCAAGGCTTTTTGATTCTGTGTATATCCAATAGCTTAAGTGTCAAGCAAAAGCTGCTGCTCAAAGTACTGTTCAGGTATCATGTTCTGTTTATTTACAGAGCTTATACATACAAGTGGAAAAACTTCATGTAAGCTTACAATGTCAGAAGTCATAATAATACAGTAAAGAATTCTAATCATAAATGTTACAATTTCTTAAACAATTTCATAAGTACGCTAAGTCCTATGTTAACATCATGGTTACATTCTTGTAAACCACAATGTTATGTGAAACAATGTTAAGTGGATAAATTTTCCCATAAGAAACTTAAGAAATAAGTAGGTTATGTTCTCAGCCTCCCTTCACCCCTATAACATCACAAATAAGACAATGTAAACAGATTGTAAATACCTGTACCTTCTGCACTGTAAATACATATAAAGATAAAGTTCAATAATTTCTAATTAACATTTAGTATGATACACAGTATTGTATTCATCAATGGCCAAAGAGGCATTGTGTTGATTTTGGTCTTTGGTCCACATTGCGAGCATCATTTCCATTTTCTCCATCACTAAACTAAGAGTGTGATTTGCCTTAGTAGCACTCAAAGACAAAGCACTTCTGAGAGTGTTCTTAATTTTGTTAGCACTAACATGAATAGTACATACAGTTAGTTCTGCTATAACGCGATAGTTGTGTTCTTCTAAAACATCGTGTTATAGAAATTCGCGTAATAGAAATAACAGGGCTTATGGAGAAAACAGGGTTAGGTGCAGATTACTACTCGAAATCGAAAAAAATTTAGTAGTTAGCCTAACACAAAGGATAGCACAGTCTAAATAAATGTTACATTCATATCTAATAATGAAATCATGCAGTAAATGTAACACTTTACAGGTAGTTCTGCTATAACGCGATAATTGTGTTCTTGTAAAATATCGTGTTATAAAAAATCGGGTAATAGAAATAACAGGGCTTATGGAGAAAATAGGGTTAGGTGCAGATTACTCGAAATCGAAAAAATTTAGTAGTTAGCCTAACACAAAGGATAGCACAGTCTAAATAAATGTTACATTCATATCTAATGATGAAATCATACAGTAAATGTAACACTTTACCTTGAAAAAATATGAATGTAACTTGATGGGGGAGAAGGGTGATTTTGAGGTTGATAACATCGAACTTCTCTTCAAGTGTTATATCCTTTCTTTTACGATCATCACCGGGAATTCTATCACCAGAACGCTTCGTGGAGATATTCTTCTTTACCATATTCACAGTTAATACCACAAAATTGGAGAAATGGTAAGCAAAAATCGCGTTATAGCAAACAAGCGTTCACGTTATACAAATATCGTTCCTAATTCATAAATCGCGTTAGAGCAAATTCGCGTTATCAAAACACGCATTATAGCAGAACTCACTGTACCTTGAAAAAATACGAATATAACTTGATGGGGGAGAAGGGCGATTTTGAGGTAGATAACATCGAGCTTCTCTTCTTTTACGATCATCACTGGGAATGCAAGCACCAGAACGCTTCTTGGAGATATTCTTCTTTACCATATTCACAGTTAATACCACAAAATTGGAGAAATAGTAAGCAAATATCGCGTTACAGCAAACAAGCATTCGCGTTATACAAATATCGTTCCTCTATTCATAAATCGCGTTAGAGCCAATTCGCGTTGTCAAAACACGCATTATAGCAGAACTCACTGTACCATGGTAACAGGCAATCTCATCGCTACCCCTACATCAACAGCATGCTCGTTGACTTAAAGCAGGGGTCACCAAACTTTTATCACAGTGGGCCGGATAACTGAAAGAATGACGAGCGCGGGCCGCATAATCATTCTGTTCAATACTTGCAAGCCAGAATGAAAGCTCTGGGTAAAAAGACAAAAAACCATGGTAACGTCAGATCGTAGGCGGAGCTACCACGAGCCGGGGAAGGACTTGGGATGGCGCGAAATAAGCAAACATTACAATAAACAAGAAAATCTAGATACAATAATTTAAAATTGAAAATAGTAAATTTAAGGTACAGGTAGTTCTGCTATAACGCGATAATTGTGTTCTTGTAAAATATCGTGTTATAGAAAATCGCGTAATAGAAATAACAGGGCTTATGGAGAAAATAGGGTTAGGTGCAGATTACTCCAAATCGAAAAAAAATTTCGTAGTTAGCCTAACACAAAGGATAGCACAGTCTAAATAAATGTTACATTCATATCTAATAATGAAATCATACAGTAAATGTTACACTTTACCTTGAAAAAATATGAATTTAACTTGATGGGGGAGAAGGTTAATGTTGAGGTTGAGGAGTCATGCAGACAGGATTTGACAATTGTCATCGTCATCATCAGTATCATCATCATCAGGTGCAGTTTTGGATGCATGGGAGGGAAGAAAAAAACGTCTAATTCCAGAAGTGGATGGCTGTGGTTCAGTGTCTTCAGTCTGCTTCTTGGGGGTTGACTTAAAAAAGACGTCTAATGTTTGCACTAAAGGCAACCACATCATCAGGATTTTCAGCTTTTTTCTTTAGGTCCTCATATATTGACAAGGCTTTCTCTTTAATGGTGAGGAAGCTGGTCCCAGATCGCTTTTTCGTTTGATCTTCTATCCAAACACTTAGAAGCCATTCCATCTCCTCAAGTTCCTTTGGCCGTGATCTTACACTTTTGCTAGCTCTCAAGGTTTTTCCAGCAACACAGCTTGCTTTAATCTTTGCTGCATTGGCTCTAATGGTGCGCAAAGTAGACTCCTTTATTCCCGTTGCACGCACAATATCACATGTTCTTTCCTTATTTTCAAAACGCTTGACAACATCAAGCTTGCCTTCAAGTGTTATAGCCTTTCTTTTACGATCACCACCAGAAATGCGATCACCAGAATGCTTCCCGGAGATATTCTTCTTTTCCATAGTCACAAAATTGGGGAAACAGTAAATCAGAAAGCACTGAGGACGCTTAAAAATTTCTCACGTCTAGCAAAGTGAACGTGTGGAGTAAAGAGAGCGCAGGTCTAAAACGCTACGTATTTTGTTTTTCTCTCTTAGTTAAAATTTTACATTTTACATATACTGTACAGGTATACTGTATACATAAATATTACATAAATTATTTCTGCAATTGTTCACAAACAAAACACATAAATCAATTGAACATGTGATGTCAAACGTGAACTGTAAACACTGCATAACCCCACGCCAAGCCACAGCACTGTACATACTGTACAGTACAGTACACTTTAAACGCTACGTATTTAGTTTTTCTTTTATTTAAATTTTTACAATTTACATATATATATATACCTGTATAAGTAAATTGTAATTTACATATTATTCATATTATGCTAGAGCGCCCACAAAACATGAGAAACGTTTGAGTCCCCCAGTAGAGATGTCCGTTCTCTATCCACTCCAGGATGTCCGTTTTCTTTTTGTGTACTCGCTCAGGGACTCAAGTATTTCTGTATATGACACAGGATAATAAGGGAATTTGAATTTATTTGTTTATTTATTTATATATAATATACTGTAATATATTAAATATACTGCAAGTATTTTCTTTAATTTATATACGTGTTTCGCGACAAAGGGAGGCTACATTTATGGTGATCGTTAAGGACCAAACTCCGAATCCATGACGTGACTTCTGTTCATTATTTATATCCTAAATTTACCACTGTAGGTAGTTTCAAGAATTAATGCAGTCATTTACTGAATATTCTTTGCAAAAAAATAAATTTTAAATGAATTATTTATAGGAGATAAATATATTGATCAGTAAATATACAGATATGCATTACTGACCACCTCCGAACACAAGGACGGCTAAAAATAGCCACAGGCGGTCACAGTCAAGGTCACTTTCCCTTTCTTGTCACTGGCAAATGGGGGAGGGGGGGATGATAATAGCAGCTGTGTTTATTACGGTATGTTCGACTGGTTTATAATACATTTTTATTATTTTAATATACCGGTAATCTTCATTTTAATCCAGCTTCCCAAACGTAAGTTTCAGTATAAAATAATTAGTGGTACTGTAGGACCTTGTGAGTGGTTTACTGTATACATAAATATTACATAAATTATTTCTGCAATTCTTCACAAACAAAACACATAAATCAATTGAATATGTGATGTCGAACGTAAACTGTAAACACTGTGTATGATGTAAAGAGAGCGCGGGTGTAAAACGCTATGTAATTTGATTTTCTCTTTTATGTAAAATTTTACAATTTACTTATAATATATAGGTATACTGTATACATAAATATTACATACATTATTTCTGCAATTGTTCACAAACAAAACACATAACTCAATTGAACATGTGATGTCGAACGTGAACTGAAGTCACAACAACCGTTCGAGTGGAATCGCGTTAGAGCAAACGAGTTCGCGTTATACAAATATTGTTCCGAATTCATAAATCGCGTTCGATCAAATTCGCGTTCGATCAAATTCGCGTTATCAAAACACGCGTTATAGCAGAACTCACTGTACATAGCAGTCAGGAGGTCTCCGCACGCGTGAAGATTTCCTAGTATTCTAAACATAATGTTTAAATTTAAATTGTATCACAACGTCTCGTGTTCCATTCGTTTTATCAAGCAAATTCAAGTACCGTCAGCAGGCCTGATGAACTGACGTCACGGGCCGGGCGGGCCGTAGTTTGGTGACCCCTGGCTTAAAGTGACGTAAAAATCCACCTTCACTGCCTGGCTGATACTTCTCCATTGCTTCTTGCAACTAGCACTACTGTGCAGTACTAGCAAAACCATTTTGATGCCATTTAAATGGCCAAAGGTGAGCAACAACGTAAGCAAGGGGAACACGAGGTACAAAGAACAGGCGATGCATCCATACTCGGCAGAGGCGTAAGCGAGACTGATGCTCCACAGT